ATACGCCTGTCATTCTCCCAGATTGACAGAACTCACATGGAATCCTAACACGCAGACGCTGCTGCTAAATAAAAGAGGGTCCACTCCATCTCGAAAACAAGAAAACATCCTATTCCACCAGCCATACTGGCCTCTTGGAATACACAGGAAAACATTAGGTGCTTGTCTTAAGAGGTGAGGGCACCAGGGTATAATTCACATAAGGATGTGAATGAGTAGATGACACCGGCGCATGGTTCCCCAACAGAGGAACATACCCCACTGACACATTTTCTTTATTTAAATATGACTGGGGGCTGATGCGCCTGCCCCTCCTCCCTCTTTCTTTAATTACGCTAGATGGATTGGCCTTTTAAGATGGTGGTTTACTTCTGTACTGTCCGTAGTATTGTATTTTAATTGTTTTCATTTCTTCTCTTACTTCTAATTTTGGAGCATCTAAAACATCTCAGCAGGAGGGCATTTTCCCATGAAATAGTAGTAGCAGTAATTACATATAGGTTCTTAATATGCTGCTATATGGAATGTGTTTTCACTTAAGTTATAGGTTATTAAATAGCTGCAACTCCCCAAAAGTAATTTGAGAGCTCTAGAAGGGATATCTTGAATATAAAGGGATGAAAGGGTAGATCAGAGTGGCTTCCTCTAAGAAACAGGATGGATCCTGAAATTCATCTCTCAAACCACAGCTAGAGAATTTAAAAGCAAAATGTGCAAAGTATGAACATTGATATTAAACACGGTAGAAAAGACGGGCCGTGGGTGGAGCCGACAGACTTGGAGTTTGGAAGCCAGAGGGACTAAGCAAGGAGCCTGACTCTGAGCTTATCAGCTGTGCAACTCAGGTGAGTTTCTTCACCCTTCTGAGACATCCCTTGGCTCTTATGTAAAATGTCAAAAAAAAAAAAAAAAAAAAAGAAAAAAAAGCACCAGGCTTTTGCCTCCTCCTGGATGAGGAATATAAAGTACCTGGCCCATGGCCCAGCACATGACAGGGAATTGATAAATGGGGGCTGTTAGCTGTCCCATTGTGGATGTGAGAATAGCATTCCACTGGCTAAGAGGCAGACATGAATGTTCTAGAACATGGAGATCCTGGAATGTGTGGTGAAGGCAGGAAGAGAAAGAACGGGTAGGGAAAAACAAGTTGGGAAGCAGGAATGAACTCTTATCTCCAGAAGCAGAGCTAGGAATGCCCACGGGGCCTTGGCACATGAGAGCCTCCGCTGAGCCAAATGGCCCAAACACTTCTGAAAGAGCCTTTGCTGCAACAAAAAACTCTGGATCATTTTGAGAAACTCCTGTGAGGTGCCAATATGCTGCAGGACCTTCCCGGCCCCGACACTGATGTGATTCATCATAGATAATGTATGGATGTGTTCAAGCTGGCCAGCAGCTTGAAAAACTGGAGTCTATCAAATTGACCATGAAAAACACAAGAATGTAATATTTAGTGATACGCCAGATGAAATCCTTGTATAGAGACATGAGATAAGGAAAGACCTGAAGAGAAGCAGACCAGCTATTACCAAGGGTCAGGGAGTTGCCGAACATAGGTCACCCAAGCAAGGAGGCCGTACGACCTCACACCCTCTCTGCAGTCCGTGAATGGTGCAATGGAAAGAAATGGTAATGACGGCTTCTGGTGCTAAATCTGAGTTTCCATCATCACGATCTTGGGGAAATAAGGAACACAGTATAATGGCATACACAGAGAATAAATGAACACATGAAAGATTACGCACAGCTTGAGTTTCTTCAGCCCACAACCTATCGAATCTAATTTTAAACCTTCAAAGACACATGTATTAGTTTTGTTACTGTTCCAGTTTCATTCTCCCGTGTCCCCGATGGTCAATGATTTTGGATAACTCTTATTTTGGGATCACTGGTCTACCTCAAGGTACTATATGTTAGAGTAAAACGACACAACAATAAATTCTATCATCTGAAATTGACTCACAAAGACTCAATTGTGACTCAAAATATAAGAAAGAATGAACAGTGAGTCTTTGAAATCATCTCGTCCGACCTTTTTCCTTAAAGATGAGGAAAAAAGGCTCCATATAGATCCAGAGGCTTACCCAACGTCCCATTATTAATTGAGGCAAATCCAGGCATTTCTGCCTCTAAGCATCTAACAATAATTAAAATAGATGAATATGTTATCATATATATTGTGTTCTCAGAAAAGAAGAGGATACATTTAATAATGTAAAAATAGTTGTGCTGTAGCATTATCTTTCAAGACTGGTTTAAATATAAACATCATGATACACTAAGGTTACTACTATATTGTCACTAGGGTCCCCGGAATTGTACTTTTCTCGTTTAAAATATTACATCAAATGGGCACAGTTCTGCAATTCGGACACGCCCTTCTGCTAGTCCCAAGAACGCTGCAAGCCCTCAACAGTTACGTACCTACACCGTCGGTGGGAATGGAAATTGGAGCGACAAGATAAGAAAATGACTTCGAGGCCTGGTACAGTGGCTCACGCCTGTAATCCCAGCACTCTGGGAAGTCAAGGCAGGTGGATCACGAGGTCAGGAGTTTGAAACCAGCCTGGCCAACATGGTGAAACCCCACCTCTACTAAAAAGACAACAATTAGCTAGGTGTGGTGGCACACGCCTGTAGTCCCAGCTTCTCAGGAGGATGAGGCAGGAGAATTGCTTGAGCCTGGGAGGCAGAGTTTGCAGTGAGCCGAGATCGCGCCACTGCACTCTAGCCTGGCCAAAGAGCGAGACTCCAACTCAAAAAAAAACAAAAAGAAAATGACTGGAGAACTGTTACCAAAATTTACAACGCATATGCCCTTTGAATCAAAGAGTTCGCTGCTAAGATTCTGCCCTAGGTGTGTCCTCACAAAAGTGTGAATAAAGAATGTTCACAGCAGCATACTTTAGACCCAGTATCACATGACATTGTAAGAAGGACTGATACAAGTGAGAAGTGTCAAACACCACTGCTTGGAATAACAAATAGCAAAACGATGCCAATGACCTAAATGGCCACCAAAGGGAAGGCTGGTTATAGCATAGGCACGTGACGGAATATTACGCAGCAGTTAAAACAGTGAAGCAGATCTATGTGCACTAATAAGAGATCTCCTAGACTACTAAGTTTTAAAAAAACCAAGTACAGAACAGTATGTGAGTGTTTTTGCTGGTACATATAACCCTTTTCTGGAATATACAAAAGAGTTCATAACGTTTATCTTTCAAGAGAAGGACCAAGAACGACTTTCCCATTTCATTTTCTACCTTCCCATTCTGCATGTCAACTCAAATAAGATGCATGCACTCTTACTTGTACTCTCCTCAATACATCTCTAAGGATTACCAGCATCCCACCTAATAGAGATGATTACTTTTTAACATTAGCGAGAAAGACACTAACATAATCAGAAGAAAAAAAAAGGCTCTGTTTCCTTTTTTTTAAATTTTACCCAAAAGAATAAGTCCAGTGAGCTCAAGACAAGGGCTTATTTCAAATATACTGAATTCCCAATATTTCATCATAAACATACTGAAAAAGCAGAAATAAATGTTCCTTTTCTTTATTTTCATAACTTTTCAGTCCAGAATACCAGAAATTTTCTTCAGTACACTGTGGTCTATTTCTCCAAATGGCAAGAAATCGTTCACAGCATTCAGAAAATGAAGACGGCCTCCTCAGCGTTTATCCAGCCCACTTCAGGCTCTGTCAACAAACCTGCTGCTCTGTCTCCTCCTCCTCCTCATCCTTCCAGGGCCTCTGCGCCTGCCATCCCCATGCCCAACCTGACCCTTCTCTACCCTCCCCAGGTCTTTCTTGAGATCTTAGGTTAACCACATCTCCCAACTCCCTGGCATGAACACTGTTTCGTAGGACCACTCACTGTTTGTTCAAGTTTACATTAATATCTATGTTTCTTTGACTAAACCTGTCTTCCACAACAGGCTGAAAGCGCTACAAAGACACTGGCGAATGTCTGTTGTCCTTCACAGAAGACCCCAGCCCCTGTGACAGAGGTGCACTTCCTGAACATGCGAATGAATGAAAAGTGAATGAATGCAGTCTAGACTCATGCTGAAGTCCGGTGATGTTTAAAAAACCAAACAGCTCACATCACTTTCTAGCTCAAACCCTCTAATGTCTATCTCACCACTCTCTCAGAGAGACCCATCCCCAGCAGCCCCTCTCCTATCCTGTCCATTCATCTCCAGCCACACCAGCTTCCCTGATGATCCCTGAATTCTCCACTGCACCTTTGCATATGCTGTTCTCACTGCTAAGAGGGGACTTCTCTTGACATTTGCATGGCTTCCCTCTACTTCCTTCAGGTCTCAGATCAAATGTCACAGCTTTGGAGGGCTTCCTGCAGATGACTCCATGATGCTCCCCCTGTCACTCACCCTCCGTTCCTCTGCTTTACGGTTCTTTATTTATTGACATCATGAGAAATATTAAATCTGATTATGATCTATTTTTCCTACCTAGACAGTAAGCCTACAAGGGCAGGGATTCTGTTTCATTTGATACTAACTCCTTGGTCCCAAGACTAATGCCAGCCCTCAATAAATATCTACGTAGACACGTGTCAACATCAACTTCTATACAGGGAGAGAAAAGTAAGAAATCAGAGATAGGGTTAAAACCTACTTCTTTCTAATCTTAAAAACCACAAGCATAACAGTCTCTGACTTGCAATGATGGGCGGTCACCACGTTTTATTTTTCTTAATAAATGAGTTAAACGAGTAAACATTCTCAAACCCCTGATTAATAAGGCAGATGACACTGACAATGAACCATAAACAAATGCATGGATAGTAACGGGCTTGCTCATGCTCTCATTCACAAAGCAAACAAAGTGAAGATGACTTTAAAAATAAAGACATGATTCCAAGAGCAATAAACTACACGCTGCACTAAAATCTCCATGTGGTTAGCCCTGCATGTGTATCTGACAATTAAAAAACAAACAAAAAAAAAAACAAAGAGTTGAACGCTTACCCATTCTTCTAAAATGCGTGCCACTGCTTCACTCGCCCTTGCCATGTTCCTGCAGGCCAAGATCACGTGTGCACCATGGAGGGCAAAAGACTTGGCAGTTTCGAACCCTGTGGGGTAAAGGAAAGTCACCGTTAGAAAACATGGCATCCACACAGTGAGTCATGTTGAATGGCCCTTACCGGAGCACCGTTTACATCACCCCAAGTTCTCAACCAGGGGAGATTTTGACCCCAAGGCGACAGGCACAAAGGTCTGGAGACATATTCAGTGGCCACAGTTGTGGGGCAGAGTCCCGCTGGCATCTAGTGGGTAAAGACCAGGTATGCTACAAAACATCGTTTTGTGTTGTTTGATACGGAGTCTTGCTCTGTCACCCAGGCTGGAGTACGGCGGTGCAACAGGGGCTCGCTGCAACCTCCACCTCCCGGGTTCAAGTGATTCTCCTGCCTCAGCCCCCAAGGAGCTGGGATTACAGGAATGCACCAGCACACCTATAATCGCTGGCTAATTTTTGTATTTTTAGTAGAGATGGGGTTCCGCCATGTTGATCAGGCTGGTCCTGAACTCCTGACCTCAGGTGATCCGCCGGCCTCTACCTCCCAAAGCACTGGGATTATAGGTGTGAGCCACCATGCCCTGCTTACAAAACATCTTACGATGAGTAGGGCAGCCCCCCATGACACAGAACCATCTGGCCCAGACTGTCAACACTGTGATGGTAAGAAAACTTGTCCTAGGGATGCAGTGATTTCAAAGATGAAGACTGAGCCACAGAACAGTTAATGGCATGTCCAGCCACTTAACCATCAATAATGACCAGATCCTTTGCCCACGTTAAGGACATGATGCTCTGCTCTGTGGTAATGCTCCCAGCACCTCTGCTTCCACCAATGTTACCTAGGTTTCTTAGACCCATTTTCTATTGAGAACAATTAGAAAAGCTGCAGAAAATAACACACGTGCACACGTGTACACACACACATCTGTTTGAAGGCATCAAAAGGGCACTATGAGAATTCTGGGGGCCAAGATCTGCAAAAATTGCAAGGCCAGCATTTTTCCTGCAAGGCATATTTCATTTCCAAACATAGTGGTTGGAAGCCTAAGAAGACGGGCTGAGCTTTTGGCAATCTCCTAACAGGGAAAAAGACACAAATTTGCACACAGGACCCACCAAGAACGAGCCGTAGTAAATACACCAAACCTTTGGCTGGGATCCTAAAGAGATATACCATCCTTGTAATAACAAGAGATAGTCCAGCCTTCACATGAGTAGAAACTCAGGTTCAGGCAATTTCAATTAGTAGTTTGATTAAAGTGATCAGTCCCTATCTGTCCAATTTCCAGAAGCAAGAGAAAATATTCTCTGGAGGAAGATACTTATCTAGAGTCTCAAATTACCACTATAATTATTTCAAATACTCATATAAAATCTGAGACACTCAAACAAAATAGCTAAGCATACAAAAAAACAAGACTTGACCAAAAGCCAGAGGGGAATAAAATGGAAATAAATGCACAGGAGATCTACCTAATCAAGTTATTCAGAAACAGTGATTAAAAAAACTCTGATCGATGAGTTCAAGGAAGAAAAAGGCGAGATGGAGAATTATCACAGGGAATTGGAAACAATTTTAAAAAATCAAATAGATATTCTGAAACTTAAACACAATAAAAATTCAGCCGGGCGCAGTAGTTCATGCCTATAATCCAAGCACTCTGGGAGGCAGAGGTGAGCAGATCATGAGGTCAAGAGATCGACAGCATCCTGGCCAACATGGTGAAATCCCATCTCTACTAACAATACAAAAATTAGCTGGGCATGGTGGAGCACACCTGTATTCCCAGCTACGAGGGAGGCTGACGCAGAAGAATCGCTTGAACCCAGGAGGGGGAGGTTGCGGTGAGCCAAGATTGTACCACTGCACTCCAGCCTGGCGACAGAGTGAAACTCTGTCCTAAAAATTATTTAAAAAAAAAAAAAAAAAAAAAAGAATTCAACACACAGTTAACAGAAAACAAGACACAGCTGACAAGATTCAGAAAACCAGAAAACGCCGGGCCCGGTGGCTCAAGCCTGTAATCCCAGCACTTTGGGAGGCCGAGACGGGTGGATCACGAGGTCGAGAGATCGAGACCAGCCTGGTCAACATGGTGAAACCCTGTCTCTACTAAAAATACAAAAAACTAGCTGGGCGTGGTGGCGCGTGCCTGTAATCCCAGCTACTTAGGAGGCTGAGGCAGGAGAATTGCCTGAGCCCAGGAGGCGGAGGTTGCGGTGAGCCAAGATCGTGCCATTGCACTCCAGCCTGGGTAACAAGAGCGAAACTCCGTCTCAAAAAAAAAAAAAAAGAAAAGAAAACCAGAAAACAAGCTTAAAAAATCAAAAGTGAAGGATAAAAAGAAAAAAATAACTAACACAGTAAAGCAAAGCATGTAAGAGACATGTGAAACAAATTCTCCTACGCTTTTTATTCTTCATTGCTCAACTTGATCTCCTACGCTCTTAGGCATACATGAAATTTGAGTCCCAAAAGAAGTAAAACAATAGATTAGGATATAAGCAATATGTGAAGACAGAAAGGTTCATAATTTTACAAAATCAATGACAGATACATAGCCACAAATTCAAGAAGTATCCTGAGCCAGAAGCAGAAATATATATGGGTATGTGTCTACACGTATATGTATAAATGTGTGTGTGTCCAAAATTATGTGTGTATATATATATATATATATATATGTGCAAGCCACAAGCAGAAACATACATATATTTAATTATTTGTGTGTAAGCCACAGAAATATATATGTGAGCATATATCTGTATGTGTACATGTGTGCATGTACGTGTGTGTGTATAGACACACATATATACACATACATGTCAAAGCAGGGCACATCACAGTAAAACTGCTAAAAACTGCATATAGTTTTTTTTTGTTGTTTGTTTTGTTTTGTTTTGTTTTGTTTTGTTTTTTGAGACGGAGTTTCGCTCTTGTTACCCAGGCTGGAGTGCAATGGCGCGATCTCGGCTCACCACAACCTCCGCCTCCTGGGTTCAGGCAATTCTCCTGCCTCAGCCTCCTGAGTAGCTGGGACTACAGGCACGTGCCACCATGCCCAGCTAATTTTTGTATTTTTAGTAGAGACGGGGTTTCACCATGTTGACCAGGATGGTCTCGATCTCTTGACCTCGTGATCCACCCGCCTCGACCTCCCAAAGTGCTGGGATTACAGGCTTGAGCCACCGCGCCCAGCCAAAACTGCGTATAGTTTTAGAAGTACAGACAAGTACCTATAAGACTGGTAGTCATACCTCTCAGGAAAATGATGGAAGCCATGGCTGAAAGAAATAGAACTTTCATCTCAGAATTCCATATCTAGTGAAATATTCTTGAAAAATAAAGGAGAAGGAGAACAAAAATTTTAAGCAAATGAAAGCTGCTTTTTGTGTATCACCTTCACTACACCTAGTGTCATGTATAGACCTACACTAGGGGAAACACTAAAGGATGCTCTTCAGGCAGGCGGAAATGACCCTAGTTATAAACCCAGAGATGCAGAAAGCAACAAAGAGCAACATAAAGGGTAAAGATATGGAAAGATCTAAATGGTAAGACTAGTAACCTCTGTGAGTTTTAAAATACACAGCAAAAATTACCATATCAATCATAATAATAACACTTAACCTAGGAGGTGAGTAACGGAAGTAAAGTATCCTAAGGCTGTTGTCTTGACCAGGAAGTGATATAATACTGATTTATATCAGACTTTAATAAGTCAAAGATGCAAGCTGTAATCTCTACAAATTTAACAAGCTACTAGAGAAGTGAAATAGACTAATAAAAAGGAAAGAAAGGGGAGAAAATGACTAGGTACAGTGGCCTGTCATTTTAGCACTGTGGGAGGCCAAGGCATGAGGATCACTGTGACCAACTTGGGCAACATAACAAGAATCTGTCTCTACAAAAATTAAAATTAAAAAAGAAATACTCATGTGAGATGGGGACACCTGTGGTCCCAGCTACTCAGAAGACTGACATGGGAGGATCGCTTGAGTCCAAGGGTCATAGCTACAGTGAGCTATGATCATGCCGTTGCACTTCAGCCTGGGTGACAGAGCAAGACCCTGTCTCAATTTCAATAAAAGAAAGAAAGGAAAGAAAAAGAGAGAGGGGGAGAAAAAGAAAAAAAATGAACAGAAAGAAGGGAAAGAAGAATATAGAATAAGTTAAACAGGAAGCCAATATGGTGGTATATTTCAGCCCAAACCCAAATATATCTGTCATTACATTAAATATAAATGGCCTAAAGATAGCAATTTAAAGAAAAAGTTTATCAGACTGAAGAAAACATGAATATACATAACTCTTTATAAAATAATGCACATTATGTTTTGTATCTTTAAACATAACGATAAACCAATTAAAGTAAAAGAACAGAAAAGGTATATCATATAACATGACCAAAAGATATCTGATATACCTATACTAATTTCAGAAAAAGAAGATTTTAAAGCAAGAAGTTTTACAAGAGAAAGTACTGACTATTTCATTATTTCAATCCACCAAGAATACATGACAATTCTAAATTTGTGTGTACTTAATAAGAGAGCCTCTCATATATGTCAAATATTAACAGAAGTATGAGAATAAATAGAGAAATTAACAATTATAGTGGGAGATTTTAACATATCCCTCTTTGTAACAGATAAAATAAGCAGACAAACACAAAGTATATAGAAGATTTGAACAACTTAATTGATAAACTGGTAATAATTGAATATGCTAAACACAGAAAACAACAGCAAAATATACTTAAGTACTTAAAGAATATTTACCAAAACTGGCGATTTGCAGAGCCAAAAGCAAGTCTCAACAAATTTTAAAAGATTAAAATTAGAAAGCATGCTGTTTGACTGCAATGGAATTATAACCAATAACGAGATCGCAGAAAATTCTCCTTTATTTATACATATATATGCATAAATAAATAAAACATTATGGTTCAAAAAATTATAATGAAAGTTGGAAATATTTTAAACTCAATAATTATAAACACATATACAAACTTAAAGAGTATAGCTAAAGCCATGGTTAAAAGAAAA